AACACCTACAGGGGCCAAGTGGTTTATACTGCAACCATGCTGAACAAACCTTAGTTAGAGTTGCTGGGAGAGAGTGTGTTATCTAGTGTGATCACCAATCTGAACAACACCAGCACGTGAAACCCTCGGTCACGATGACTTGTGACTTCGTGGTAGTACAGCTATCAATGGACCCAAATGGTAATTTTATGACTAGATAGATAGATAGATAGATAGATAGATAGATAGATAGATGAAATTTGACAGACGTATTATGCAAAGTAGGAAAAGACAAAATTATTTGTACAGTAGGAAAATTAGAAAAAAAATTGAAAAGTTTTCAAAACAGTCAATAACATGGCCCCTCATCTTTAGAACTCGCTGCAATCATTTTGTAAAGTTTTTGATGAGATTTGAACAAATCTTTTCTGGGGTTTTCTTCTATTCGTCAATGGTTACACGTTCTAAATCCTGAAGGTTTTTGTGACCAACAATTTATTCGAATTTTCAATTCTTGCCATAGATTTTCAATAGGATTCAACTGTAATCTTCATTTTCTGAAACCATACAGTCACTGATTTAGACGTATATTTGGGATCATTATCTTACTGGAAAAATAAATCGACGACCTAGATGAAAATTTTGCGCTGATAGTTACAGATTTTCATCCAGAATTTTCATAAAGTCTCCAGATTTCATTATTCCTTTTATTACAGTTAATTAATCCAGTCCATCTTGAGCTAAAAAAAAAACATCATCTAGCCACCTCCATGTTTTAAGGTTTCCACTGTTTTCTTTGGGAGGAAAGCCTCAGCTTTCTTGCACCAAATCTTCTGTACATCATTATGTCCAAAAAGCTCAATGTTTGTTTTATCACTCTATAGTACTTGCTCCCAAAAGAACGTTTTGCTAAAATTAAACCGAGGAACAATGTGACAGGGATTCGTCATGGTCGGTTTCCATACAACCCATTTCTATTTAAACAACGTTGTATTTGTGCAAGTACTTATGCTGATACCCATCCTATCCAAACTTTTGGCGATGTCTTTCAAAACAACAGTTTATATTAACCTCGCTACAGTTTTCGTGCATTTCTCGATGACAATTTGTTTTATCTTGCACGCCCAGGCAAATTCACTGTCGTGTCAAAATGTTTAAACTTCTTTATAAAGCATTATACCGTAGGTCTAGGGATAGCTAACCGGTTTGAAATAGAGCTGTAACTATTTCCCGATTTGGGGAAGTTAATAATTCTCTGTCTCAAGTCAACGTTAATCTCTTTTGTCTTCCCCATCGTGTTGTTAACGTAAGAATAACAATGGCGACACTCTATGCACCACGTGATGTTCTTTTCTGGACTTATCACAAATATTCTACTGAATAAATAGTCTAGATAGTTTCACCGATAAAATAATTATGAAAATCACTTATACTTTATCGAATCGATTTAAACAATATTTTTTACCGTACGAATAATTTTGTATTTTACATAATTCGCCTATCAAATTTGTTGTATTCAACCTATTGTTCTGAAAATTGAGTTATATATTCCTTTTTATGTTTATTAACATGTAAAAAAGCTGGCATGATACGGGCATTAGATTCTGAGAAATGGATAAAAACATTCAAAATTGATGGGTGTAAGAATAATTTCGTCGTTGACTATATATATATATATATATATATAGTAGAGGTAATCGATCCGTTGGTATATAATCCGGGTGGATCCTAGTAATATTAATTATTTAAACTGATCCACAGAGCGCTCAATGTTTTTATTTAAACAGAACATATGCATTTTTTACAGCAAAAATTGCATATTGAGGTAATTTTGATTTTTGGGGTTTATATATATATATATATATATATATATATATATATATATATATATATATATACTAGCAGCATGGCCCGGCGTTGCCCATGCTTGATTCAAAAAATCGTACGACTCATACAGCAATCGCTATTACGTGACTCAAAATATTTTTGCCCTTCCTTGCCTTTAAAGGAGTGCCCTTTGCCGTGCTGATGTTGCTACATGCCTTACTTCTTGCCTATCACAAACTGCGTATTTTTTCTAAACTCTATACTAAACATTAAATCTGTTACAAAAAAAAGAACTAAACAAAATGAAGACAAAACGATCAGCTTTAAAAAAGGACTCGTAACTGGAAAAACCAAATGAAAAAAGAATGTTAACAACAAATACTTTTTCACACACAACCTAGTTCTGCAGAATCAGAATCATCGTTGAGTTTAAGCAAGCGAATGAGCCGATTGGAGTAAAGTGCCATGCGGATTTAAATTTTTCCCACTTCTGACGAATGCAGCTATCGAGTTTTGTGCATGCTAGCATGCTAGTTAGCATTCATGTCAGTCAGCTGTTGGCTCTCACGCTGGCCAATAGAATCTTCCTGCCTATTCGTGGCAGCCAGCTATTGGCTCTCACTCTGGCCAGGAGAAAATGGCCGCAAACTACATGAAACGCGCCGTAGAATCATGAAAAAAATCGATTATTTCCACTATCGATGGGAGTTGGGAAATGCAAAGTCGGTCTTGGCCTTCCCGCTAACTTGGAGCATGTGCATGTAAATTTTGGTGCAAATCCGTCGAAAATTGCGGCTGTACATTCGTCACACACACACACATCCTGTTTTTTATAGATAGAGATAAAAGTGGATATTAAAATCAACACCCAGAGGTGATAGTCTGTTTCTTGCTTGAACGCATAAATATAGGATA